AAAACGTTTTGAAATGTCCACAGGAGCATCTCAATCCACCCTGTGGCACAACTCACAACTCCGATGTCCATCTTTGAGCTCAATCAGTCAGCATTTCCCCGACCTTTGGCTGATACCAGGTACACTGCTGCTGTTTTGCAAAAATAGCGCTCCTCAAAGCTTCATCCAAAATATCGGCAACATAGTGAGTGTTTTAAACCTACTGAGCATGGGTGGCAGAGGAGTGTTTGACAAGTTTCTTTTGTTAATTGTTAGTTGCCACATTTCCAATCCTTTGTAAATGAACGTGAATTAAAGCCTCGGGTGCTGATGAAGTAGCACAAAGTTAAAACTCTCTGCAGGTTGATTGAAAGATTAAAGAGAATAACTTTTAAGAACTATTAAACTTAAAACTGCAGCTGCAGCAGAATGTAAAGTCGATATGGAGCTAGAAAAGCTTGGGCATGTAATATGACAGGGACTTCAGAATGTGCTATTTCAGTGCCCACACACCTGCCCCCGTCTGCAGCGATGACACCCCAATCATAAACAAATCATAAGGTTGTGTTTCCAAAGAAATGTGACATGGTTGCCATGGCACAATACTTTTTCTACAAAGACGAACACTATTTTTGTCCTTGTGGGGATAGCTGCTGACCAGTGGCAAACCTGGATCCATCCTCCGCCTCCTAAACTTCAATAACACTGGCCCTTATTTTCTGTATGTCATTTTAAAACAATACTGGCAACATTACACAGCCTTGTAATGACTGATGGCTACACATGAAGGGCACACTCATTATTCCTCATGCTGAATGTTTCACATTAGTTTGGAACAACATCTTTAGTCCCATTGCAGAAATCTGAAGTCATTTCTGAAATGATTTCAGCAAATAAATAAATATGTAATTAATTGTAGAACTTCATGCATATAAAAGGATTTCATGTCCATATGTATGAGGAACTCTTTGAGGGTGAAAGTTTTTACCTTTTCAGACAGTGAACTAAAAAGCATGTTATGTATTGAGTGCAGCTCAATAAAGACCGGGGACTGTGACACTGACCAGGATCATTTACTCGTAGATAGATCGAAGGATGGATGGACGGCGTTAAATGTAGCACGGGCAGCCAACCGGCTTATTAAGAGTCAGCTATCCACAGACACTTTAAATGAGATTCAAAAGTGACAGTGATAACAACATTACAAGAATTACAAAGGTCAGACTGATGAGGGCTGATGATGTTCAGGCAACTGTACTGCAAATAAAATCTAATTCTAAACCTTGAGAGAGAAATCAAAATGTATTTAGGACTTCCCAAAGAATACAGTTATTTAAATGCTGTTGCAGCAACAGTTCCATCTCTCTGATGACTGATCATCGCTGCTCTCCCATTTGAAACATAACCTATTCCTTGACCTAAAACATCACTTTGATAAGATACACTTGATTACCAAACTGAAAAAAGCCAGTGTACGCTAACATACAAACACACACACACACACACACACACACACACACACACTGCACTCCCAAGACCGCAGCCTAACGAGCATCAAACGGCAGAATGGTTGTGTAATTGGTCGTGAAAGCTGAGTGATCTGCTGTGCCTTGCTCTCTACGTCTTGAACTAGATCAAAGGTAGCATTTAAAGAAATGATTTATTGTTGATGAGGAGCTCAGGAATGCATGAACTAATTATTCTGTCAGATCTGTGCTGAAGTGGTCGGCAGCCGCGGCAGACGAGTCATCTTCACCTGTACCGAGGTGGTGGCCTTCTTATGAAGTCTCTTTGTTCTGTTGGTACAGAACCGAGCAAAAGAGCATTGGCCAAAATGCAATCTCAGAACTCATCGGCTATCTTCTTATTATGATTTAGCTTTTTATTTAGCTTTTTTACAATTTGCTACTTGTGACACAATCCAGTCGAAGACGTCGTCCCTGCCGTCCAACTCCATCTGCGCGTCTCACGTTGCTAATCACACTGTGAACAATTGACCGGCGCACAAAAGAGACAGTTTTGGCCAGGATATCCGCTAGCTACACTGGAACCCCCAAAACGTTGTCCGTTGGCCCCAGAGGCTGATTCGTTCAGAGACCGAGATTACCTTCTACAATACTGTCCCAGTTTCAGATATGTATGTAATTAAAAAACGTTAAACGTCAAACCTTCACATTACATTCAAAATGGACCACTGCGCCGTATAATTACAAAGCCTCTTTGATTCAATAATGAGCCTGGCTGAGGTTCGGTGAATTGCTGCTTAATAAGACTTAATGTTTGGGTATTTAAGAGACGTCTTGTGTATGTCTAGAAAGTAATGGAGCATAACTGAAAAGGCTGTCAGCTTCTGAGCTTGAGGAACTGAAATTGGAGAGAACACAATGTTTTGAAAACTGAGCGTTGTATATGAGAACATTTAAGCTTCTTGAATAAAAGGATAACTGATAGTGGACCAGCAATTCCAAATAGAGCGATGGAAAGACAGATTTATAAAAATAAGTCAAAATTTATGAAGCAGCAACAGAAATACCCTGACTGTCCTACACTTCCCATAATGCAACTCAATAGTGTCTGTCCTGAGGCCAACCCTGACAGGTCAATTGGGAAATGTCACCGTCTTTTCAGCGTTCTTGACCCATCACCTTGAAAACACCTGATACTGTCTCACTTTTCTGAGGTGTCCTGATATTCGCCTCTTGAGAAGTTTAAAAAGAGGATGGGATTCTTAGCAGACGGCTAACCAGGTTTAGTGTTTAAGCAATCAGAGCGTCTTTCTTGGGAGAAAAGTCATGAATAACTTAACACTGATCTCTCTGGGGAAATTTTTGTTTCTCTCAGCCCTTTGACAGGGAGGTCAGATTATAGGGTGAGCCACTGAACAACAAGGATTCTGTGTCTTGCTCAAGGACACTTCAGTAATGCGGATGCCTGTCAACACAGGGCCTTGAACCCACTTGTCCCCCTATTCATTGGTAGCCCGACTGAATTAAGCTTGTCATTTCTCAGTCTATGTTTTCAAGTCGGAAATCTCTTATTTAATTCCTCTCAGTGCTTCATATGTTTCCTTCTACTCCCTGAGAAACAAATGAGAAATCTAAAAGCTCATGTCAACAAATTAAAATTATAAATAAAAATGGACATGAGAGTGGATTTTGAAGTGATCTGAACATCAGAGGAAAACAAGGAGACGCGGGTCTGAGCTCAAAGGCAATCAGAGACAGATAAATTGGACCAATCACATCAAAAAGTGCTGACAGGAGGGGCAAGAAGGGGAACGGCTGGTGTTTAATTAGCATCAACGCCTAAAGTGGCAAGTGTGAGTGTACTGATCACATTGTGACAACTCATCTCACATCTGGTCACCACAAAGCACTTCTTTTAGGGATAAAGTTTATATAACGACGAGGTCAAAATGCAGGTAAGGGTTGCAATTGTGCTACCTCAACACAATGTCCTCACAAGTACTAAAAATACCTCAACACAATGTCCTCACAAGTACTAAAAAATACCTCAACACAACGTCCTCACAAGTACAAAAAATACCTCAACACAATGTCCTCACAAGTACTAAAAAATACCTCAACACAATGTCCTCACAAGTACAAAAAATACCTCAACACAATGTCCTCACAAGTACTAAAAATACCTCAACACAACATCCTCACAAGTACAAAAAAATACCTCAACACAATGTCCTCACCAGTACTAAAAAAAACCTCAACACGTCCTCACAAGTACTAACAAATACCTCAACACAATGTCCTCACAAGTACTAAAAAATACCTCAACACAACATCCTCATAAGTACAAAAAAATACCTCAACACAATGTCCTCACAAGTACTAAAAAATACCTCAACACAATGTCCTCACAAGTACTAAAAAATACCTCAACACAATGTCCTCACAAGTACTAAAAAATGCAGAAAAACAACCCAGCCGGAGTCGACAAGCTCCTCCCTCTACATTTCTGCTATATTTGAATAATAGGATCTCTACTGTGGAACAATTTGATTGCACATAAATATTGCCCATAAAAATATAAACATACTGTAGACATGAGACGTGTCTGATGAGCCAGACACTTTCTACCTTCAGACACAGGGAACGATAAACACTCTTTATCCTGCATTTTCAGATGTCAGGTACGCATACTGTATACCACATGATGAACGCCCACATATATCAACATTATTTCCCTTAAATACTTTTCAGTCACTATTTTCACTACATTTGTTTCAATTTTAGTGTCTTTTTCAAGTTGCTTGTCACACAGATATTTTAAAAAGCTCCTTCCAGGGTTTTTTATCATGTGTGCATACAACCACAAATGAAAATCTAATGAAACCTCTAGGTACTAGAAAGGAATAGCCTGAGGCAAGGTGACTAAGGCAGAGTAAAGTTTGCTGTATTAAAATGTTTTAAGATGATACATACACAGGGTTTTAGTAATTAATTCATAGAATCATTTATACAAAATGACACTGCATCACAGTCAACTGTAAACCACCCCGAGGTGTTAGGTACTCTAATCTGAGGAGTCGTTTTAACTCACAATACCATGTTTAGTCACTTAAAAACGTTCTGTAACAGCAGAGTGATAGCTGGATCCAAAGAAACCCAGGATAAAAAGGCAGTTTACCAGATCAAAGGGGAAATCCTTAAGGAGCACAAAATTAGTGCAAATTGCTGTAGCATGACCGAAAACTCAACCAACCCGCAGGGGACAAGAGGAAGAGGAAGAGGAAGAATCAATGCATGAGAGAGAGGAGAGAGAGAGAGAGAGAGAGAAAGAGAGAGAGAAACCAAAATGTACATGTGCCCGTTTATCCAATCTGTAGGTATATGTATGGAGTTTTACTGATTTAATTGAATTTCCTTGTGCACCCAAGGATACATAAGTGTGTGTGTGTGCGTGTGTGTGTGTGTGTGTGTGTGTGTGAGAGAGAGACTGTGTAAGAAAGAGAAACCGACAAAGAGAGAGCAGTTGGAGTGTGCACAGAGAGTGGGTCTTCATACCTCAAGGAGCTGCACTCTCACTTTGTTGTATGCTTTCAACCAGCGCACTTTGGATGGAGAGCATGGTGGAGGGCCATCCTCGAAGAAACTGAAAAAGATCAAGCAAAAAAAGAGGGAAAAGATGGCCGGCATGAATCAATATCAAAATTGAATCAGTCCCTGAATCTTAAAGTCGAAAGATAGGTTCACTATTTTACAAGTCTGTCTTAAAACGATCAACACTGTTTGTACTTGCTGTAATCATTAGAGATCCCTTCATAAAATGCTTCCAATTTTAACTGACGAGGGACAAAATCTGTGCTCCTTTTGTGAAAAAAATAAATTCTAACGAGCATTCAACTATTGCTTTGAGACCGAAATTAACCAACGAGTTATAAACTCCCTCACTGACTTCCCACCAGCTCACACTTAAGCTTGTGTAATCATGCAAACCTAGATGTCTACATTTTTTACATACCAGATTTTGGTCTGAGTCTTGTTATCGAAGTTCTCCAACATTGGTTTGGGCAAGATGACCAAAGAGTCTTTCAAACTTTTGTTTGAACCAGGCTCTGGTAGTGGATTCAGCTCTTTCTCAACCCCTTCCTCCTCTTCTTCCTCATCCCAGGTAGACTTCTGGCTATTGAGAGCGGGACGCAGGGTGCTGGGGCGGCGGGTCTCTGGATCTCGCCGCTCCTCAGGCTCAGAGCTGAGCTGGGAGCTGGCCGGGCTGAGGTTGCCAGATGAATCAAAGCGACTGCTGTCCGGCGGACTGCAGGAGAATGAAATTGTCTTTTAGAATATGATGGTGACTTGTGAAAGCAACATCTATTTAAAGGAGTTTTGCAGAATCGAAAGGTTTTATTCCAAAATTCACTATTTCGGAAATTACCGCTTGAAATTACTCTGTTTTTTTAAAGACGTAGATAATGGGAAAAATATTCTAGAAGAAAACATATTTTCTTTACTTTGATTTTAAAAAAGGAGTTTCAATTTTGAATGGCAGACAGGGATTTCGAAATGAAACAATTCGATTAATTTGTTAAAGCAAGTACTAATGGGTAAAACTGAGGGTAAAAGAAGCTCATCATCATCATTAACAGATCCAGGGAAGAAGGTGACACGAAACAAGGAAAACTAACAGGGTTCAGTCGGGGAAGCTGAATAACTGAGGCTGATTGCAGATTTCTATGACAATCATGTCAAGAAAAGGCTGCAATCAGCAACGGGAGGTCCTCATCCCTCTCGAAGATGGGTGGTCATACTGCACGTTTAAGGCGGTAACGGCATGTTAATAATGAGACCAGCTATCATAACTTACAGTTAAGGTTCTGGCTAAAAGCAGAATAGAGAAAAAACTATTTAATGAACCTACATCTACTGCAGGATCTATTCATGTAGTGTATATACCATACAATGATATATGCACATTATTCACATTTATTTAACCTTTTTATTAGATTGTCATAAGTGGCTGCCGTGTGGCTGCTGGATGATTGAGACTGCTAGCAGGGAAAGTGGCTCTTTGCTTTAACTGGCATGATTTACTGTCTTGGGTGGAGGCCAAACTACTTCTCACTTTTCCTTTTATTCCAGTGTCCTGCCTGCCTTGTCATTGTGAACTTTCATACCATCATAAATCTATCAGAGTTTTAATTCATATAAACAAATTGGCTGACGGTTGGAGAATAACTCTGGGAACTGGGAACTGCAGGGGACAGAGAAAGGCTTTATACACCGCCTCACAAGTCAAACGCTAATAAATAAAGACCATCAGTTTCTTCATTCATTGCACTTCCATCACTGTCAGGAAAGCTATTACGGAGGTGCTGTAAGTACAAAATAGCTCCAGTACATTAACACATAATGGGGAGTCTGTTTCAAGCAGATGTGATCACTTCCTTTCCTACTGTATGGCTTTGACGATGAAACTGACAATGTCAGATTTTCACTTAATGGTTTGTATTTATGGCTGCAAGGTGGATCTTGTATCTTCTTATAGAGGTCACTTAAGGAATGGGAAAGGGACAAAAGGCACAGAGCTACTGATATCAAATGTGGTAAGATAAAACTCTAAATGGGAAAGGAAAAGCAGGAAGGGTGCGTTACATTTGTCTACATTAGCATGATAAATGAATAATGTCATTTATCATTCAAATTATACTAGCCTTTTGGCTGCCTCCTCTGTCAACAGGTTCTTTGGTTGCTCTTTGCCCAGATCTGCATGCATGTCAGGTGTTTCAATTTCACTCTTATCTACCTTTAACTGGGGTTTATCCAAACCCTCTGCTAAGGAAACTGAGAGAGAGGGAATGCCAGAGAGTGGTGACTGTGCTAAGGTGTCACAGCTTCCTGTTTTTGAAGTTTCTGTTGGTCCTTCTGTATCACTGGCATCTGCACTCTCAGTTCCTCCAGAGCCTAGGGAAAGTTTCTCAGACTCTGGCTCACGAAATTCGTCTGTAGGTTTTGGACTTTCGGACTGAGGTTGGGTTGTGACCACCGGAGGGGTGGATTCAGGTTTCAGTGAATCAGAGTTCCCGAACATTGAGCCAAGCTTCATGCCAAACACAGATGGAGCAGATGACGGTTCCTCCTTTCCACTTGGCTTCTCATCCTGGAAAATACCAGCTGAAAGGCTTTTAAAACCAGAAAAGAGACCACCATCTGTTTGTTGTGGCTGTAGTGTCTTTGTACCAGTGGCTGGAGATGAAGTGGTGGAGAAAAGGGATCCAAAAGATGATGTACCTTCAGCAGCTACAGACATAAAGCCAAATTTAGAAGCAGTCAGACCGGGTATTTCAAACATGCCTTTGTTTTCAGGAGCTGGTGCTGCGGGTGCAGCTTTGTCAGACACTGCAGAACCTGACCCCTTTAACTGCTCAGCATGCTCATCATCCCCTGCTTCTTTCTCAGGGAAAGCTGTTTTCATGGTGGACTCTGTCAGAGAATTTTCATCTGCTTCTGTTTTGTCTGTTCGTTCTGCCTCCTCCAATAATCCTTTTTCAGGGACCTCAGAGTCTTTAACATGTCCTTCTCCAGATAAAGGTGTGCTCTCTGTATCTGTCTTGTCAGTTTTCTCAGTGACTGTTACTGTTGCACAAGTATCCTCTTGTCCAGACTCTGTGCCAGACTGTTGATGTTCCTCAGATTTTGACGTTTCAGGACCTTTAAATATACCAAATAGGTCACTAGTAAGGGATTCTGTAGCAATGCTACTTGGAAGACCAAAAAATGAGCTTTGCTGTTGTTGCTGTTGTTGTTGTGGCTGACGAGGAGCAGGTGATGATCCAAAAAGTGAACCAGGTGAACCTGAAAAAAATCCACCAACATTTGGTGCTTTGCTTGGGGCATTTGGGGTAGAAAACATGGACATAAAACCAGAAAATGGAGCTGGTTCAGGGGGCTTCTGTGGTCCTGGCTGTCTTGGTCCTGCCATTCTTGGTCCTGCCATTCTTGGTCCTGCCATTCTTGGGGCCGCCATCCGTGGCCCTCCCATCCGTGGCCCTCCCATCCTTGGTGCTCCCATTCTTTGTCCTGGTGGACCAGGTGGCCTGGCCATGCCTGGCCTGGGCTGTTGCTGTGGTGGAGGACTAGCAGGTCCCAATGAAGGACCTTGAGATATGATTTCTGGTGAGTTGGTACTAACAGTTTTTTCATCATTAGATGTTGGGACCACTGCAACAGAATCATTACTTTCAACATGTTTCTCTAATCCATGTGCTGTTTCTTTAGTAGCCTCTGCAAGCTCTGATTTAGCCTCAATTTCTTCCTTTGCAGTCGCAGATGTGGATTTTAAGTCTTCTTCAATTGATTTTTCTGATTCTGAAACTGTAGTCTCTGTTGTAACTGCACCTATTACAGATTCTGCAGCTGGTTTCTCTATAACTGCTATCAATGAATCGCCTAAAGTTTCCTCTTCAGTACATTTTTCCACATCTGCATTAGCTGCTTGTTCATCAACAAATTGCAAAGGTTCCTTAGTAAATTTTTCCACATCTGTAACTGCTGTTTGTTCTTCATCATCTACTTTCAAAGGCTCCTCACTAGATTTTTCCACATCTGTAACTGCTGTTTGTTCTTCATCATCTACTTTCAGAGGCTCCTCACTTGATTTTTCCACATCTGTAACTGCTGTTTGTTCTTCATCATCTACTTTCAAAGGCTCCTCACTTGATTTTTCCACATCTGTAACTGCTATTTGCTCTTCAGCAGCAACTTTCACTGGCTCGCCCTTTTGTTTTTCTACCTCTGGAATTGTTATCTCTCCTTCAACGACAGCTTTCCAATGTTCTACTCCAACCATATCTGAACTTGTGTTTTTGTCAGTATAATCTATAACACTTTTAATTTGCATATCATCAGGTTTTTCTAATGGGGTTTTGATGGAAGATATGTCCTTTTTATCACCTGTGCTTTTGCATTCAAAAGTATCTGTCTCTGATATAGCAACTTCTTTTTCAGAATTCGCTGTATCTTTCATTTTATTATATTCATTTTGGATGTCTGACTGTTCCTCATTTGCTGGTTTTACAGCTTGTAGTGTCTCTTTCTCTAGTATATCTCCAGTCAAATTTGGTGTGTCTGTGTTAGAAGCTTCAACCACAACTGATGCATTTTCATCAGGTGAAATGTGATGTTGCATTGTGGCTGATTTGTCCACCTCCAGATGTGGATCTGTTAGGGAAACTTCAGTGGTATCTTTATTGATGTCCACGTTCGAATCTTGACCATCTTGGTAAGCCTCCTCTTTTTGGAGTTCCACCTTATCTATTGTAGAAAGAGGCTCAGAAGATACATTTTCCATGGCCTCAATAATGTGATTCTTTGCTTCTTTTGAAAGATATTTTGTGTCTAAGGGTTTCACTTGTTGTGAGTCAATCTCCCCCTTCCCCAATGTTTCTGGCTCTGTCTTGGTTTCTTCCATGAAAGACATTCCAAATAGACCAAACCCAGTTTTAGATTTGTTGCCATCAGAACTCCCGCCAAGTGAAAACACAGAGGAAACTTTGAAACCACCCTCTGATTCAGGTGGTTTCGAAGCAACTGGATGTGCTTCTGATGCTTGCTGGTTTTGTCCACCAAACATAGAGAATAGTCCTTTTCCTGAGGGCTCTGAACCTCTGGGTCCTGGTGGTGCAACTGTTGGGGGTATTTTTGGTCCTGTTTGGGACTGGGCACCCAGACCTCCAAACTTGGAAAACAAACCTGCACCAGGAGTTTCTTTATTTGTAGTAGAACCTGGGAGGATGCCACCAAATATAGAGGATCCTGTGGAAGGTGTTCTTGGTGTGGCACTTTGCACAGGATGACCTCTGGGACTGGGTGGTTGCTGAGGTGCAGACGCACCAAACATGGAAAACAGGCCTTTGCCTGGTGGTTCTTTGGGTGGAGGACCTCTAGGTCGCACACTCCCACCAGTTGGACCTCTTGGGCCAGGAGGTGGTTGACTACTGGATCCACCAAACATAGAGAATAAGCCTTTTCCCTGGGTCTCTTGTGGGGTTGACAGTGGTGGTGGTGGGTCTTTTGATCCAGGTGAAGATGGGGCATTTGACCCACCCAACATTGAGAGTAACCCTCTGCCAGGACCATCTTTGGTAGATGACCCAGGAAGAATGCCACCAAGTATTGATGATCCAGTTTGGGAGGACGTCTGCTGTGGGGTTGTAGTGGAGCCACTAAACATAGAAAATAAGCCTTTTCCTTGCTCATTAGGTTGTTCTGCCTCAGGCTGATCAACCCTGACAGCCAACCTATCCTCCTTGGAGGTTG